ACTGCTGGTTATGATTCCACTCAAGCTCCACCGGATAGATCATGTAGTATTTGGAGAAATACCTAATGATCTTTCTGGAACCTTGGTCTTTTCTAACCATTCCTTGGGATGGCTGCAAGAACAAACTGTACGACTCCATGAGGAAAATTCCAAGCAACAAAAACTTAACAAAGAATGTTGGAAGAGGTGTAAACAGCTTATCTGAAAAAAGAGAGAGACGGTAAAAAGGATAAGCAAAATGGAAGAAACAACTAATGATCAGCAAGTTTAGCTGTGGGATGGACCTAGAAACCCTTCAGACAGTTTCTGTGAACACATTTGAAGAGCTAAAGATCAAGAAACTTTGAAAGGAATTATTGAATGCAAAGGAAGATGTAGTAGGAAAAGCTTGCTCAAGTGCAATGGGAGCTGATGACAAAGACAAAAAAGCACACCCAAAGCTTCATCAGACAAATGATTTATGTATCAAAAAGAGGAAACTTGATTCTTGGTTGAATACACTCCAAAACCAGCAGGGCAATGGCTTCCAGGGCCCTAGGAAAGCAGATATATATTGTGGCAAGAGAGAAGGTCACAGAACTGATCCAAGTTCAGGCAGAAAAGAGAAAGAGTTGTTCTTTTGCATCAGAAAGGTGGTCTTACCCTCTCACCCATTCAGCCTCTGCAAGAGAGTAAGATGAAGCCCATGCACGGGCCTTTAAGTTTGCTTTTTTCTCAAATCCATCCAAGATTTCTGACATATAACTGATCAGAAGTTCTGTTTCCTTGCCACATGCCACAATCCTATTTTTTTGAAGTGAACTTACCTAAAAGTCTAAAACCAGATCCAGTCATATAGTTTTAATAATTTTTCTCCAATTTGGTTATCTTAGAACTGACTGTAGCACCCAACATCAATTTCCGATTGAACTGAACCCTTTTAGATCCATTTGGAACCCACTGGATTGAATATGGAGTCTCAGAAGGCTGTATCTCAAAACTGCAAGAAAGTATTAGTAATATATCATGTTTTAAGAAATTTGTCTCTTGGTTATCTGAATGTTTAGCCATTGGCAAGACAAACTATCATTTAGCAATCTCTGAGAAAACTTGGCTTTTTTTAATCCTTGGAAAATAAACTTTGATGTTAAATATTCTCTGAGAGGACAAAAAAGAAAAGCACAATCCCAAGGGAGAGGAAGTGAATGAAAACTTGGACAAAGTAGCCATCAAAAGAGAAAGGGACAAACCAGGGGTATAGGCCAAGCAGCCCTAATTCCTTAGAGTTGGTAATTTGTGGCTGAAGATGGATTTAGGTCCATCAGAGAGACATATTGAATACCTGCAAAACGATGCAGCAGAACTCATCTTTGTGAGAAATAAGACACAGAGGAATACGTTTCCTTGGTATCTACTGGGTTGACAGAATAATCTCATCTCATTGGAGACTAAAAATTGAGAGAATAATGAGACTCTCTGGAATTGTGGGGCCAGGTTAGAGAACTTTGACCTGAGCTGGAAAGGGCTAAATTAGAGAATACAGGGTTGAGGAGATAAGCTGAAGTAAAAATAATATGCTCTCTGAGCAGTTATGTTATTTATATACTATATGCTTTACGTATATTATCTAACTTCATTCTTAAAACAATACAATGAAGTACTAGTATTATGTCGACTTTACAGAGAATGAAACAAATTATGTAACTATTCTTTAATTGAACATTTATTCCCTGTTTTTTTCTATGCTGAATTAAACATTCATTTTATATTCTTAAAAAGAAAAGCACAAACATTCTGCCAATAATATCTTAGAACAAGAAATGCAAATTAGAATTCTGACATTGTTAACTTCGCAGAGCAGTTATTTGAGGGCTCAGGATGCAAGACATGCAGACAGACAGCAGTTTGCTTTGGACTGGCAGAAAGCAGGAGACTACCCAGTTTCCTGAGTCACCTCTGGTTTCAGCAAACTCCTCAGCTCTGAATGGAGCAGAGGAGTGTGTTTTAACAAAATGGTCAATAAGGAGGCTTTTCTCTGAAGAGGTTTGCAGCTCTACTAGTATGCTAAGTATTCCCATAGTTTCTCATGTCCTATGTCATCTTCTTTCAGGTTCTAGTCAAGTCATTTGCTGTTTTTATTTTTATTTTTTTTATTTGACAGAGAGAGAGAGAGCAAGCACAAGCAGGGGGAGTGGCAGAGGGAGAGGGAGAAACAGACTCCTCACTGATCAGGGAGCCTGACACGGGGCTGGATCCCTGGATCCCAGGACTCCAGGATCATGACCTGAGCTGACGGCAGGTGCTTAACTGACTGAGCCACCCAGGCGCCCCTCATTTGCTGTTTTTAATACAGATCTAGAAGTAATGATAGGTTACATCACTCTGAGAGATCATCTCTAACAATCACTTTTGATTGTGCATAACATTTTAAACTAATTTGAGAGTGTCGTTTTCATTTCAGGGTAAGTGGTCGTGGGAATTCCTGGCTATACCCACCTAAGAATGATCTCACTGATACTTGGATTCCTATTAGTAATAGAACGTAGCACTTTAGATTCAGAGCTCTATGGGTACATATTAATGAGCCACTCCACTGAGCTGTCCTAGAATATAAATTGATTACTGAAAAGGAAAGGTGAAGAAGGCAATATAGCATCAATGTAGAAAGTGACTCAGCAATGTCAAGTCTTCCTAACCTGATGAGGCTGCTGATCTGTCCCCCAAATTATATAGGATTTTGTTTCCTTTCAAAGATTCTTTAATATTCCTATTTAAGAGGTCTGAATAGTTTGTACCTATTACTATAAATCTCTGGTGTAGTAGCTTCTCTATTGGAGAACATTTACCACTTTCTCTGCTATATGCTCTAAACTCTGTTTGCCTTTCAAGCACTTAAAAAAAAGTCATAAAAAGTAATAATAAATAAATAAATACACATTAAATTCAATGTGTATTTCTGTGTACATATGTGTGTGTTTCTGTGTGTCTGTGTTCAAGTATGTATTTGTTCTCTGGGTCACAATATAAAATGTATTTCTTACTAAGAGTCATGGTCAAAAAGTATTTGAAAGGCACAATCAAAAACACTTCTTTCTACTCTCACCTCTCACACACCAAAGTCTTTGCAGCTATGATTAAATTAAGGATTTTGAGATGGGGAGATTATCCTGGATTATAGGATTGGACCCTAAATGCAACTATATGTATCCTTCAAAAGGAAGAGGAGATTCTACACACAAAGAAAGCCAATGTGAAGACAGAGTAGAGAGTGATTTCAAGATACTGACCTTCCTTGAAAATTGAAGTGATGCAGTCACAAGTCAAGGAATGCTGGCAGTCATCAGAAGCTAGAAGAAGCAAGGAATGATTATCCATTCATCAGTTGATGGAAATTTCAAAAGATTACTTTTATAGCTTCTTTCCATGTCCTTAGTGGGAAGGGAAAAGATTACCAGACTTACATCCATGAGTGAGGTATCATGAGAATTGAGAGGGCCTCCCGCACACCAATTTGTACTTCAACATGCCTCATAATAATGGCCAACACACTGAGTGATAATTACATGCAGAGCAGACTATGTACATAATTCTCTATCCTCACAAAAATTTGGTGAGGTAGTCATCATTACCCTTGTTTTACAAATGAGAAAATTCAGAGTCAGAAATAACTTATCTAAAATCATACAACTAGTGACAGAACTAGGTTGTACATCTACTTTGACTTGCCTCCCAAAACAGAGCCTTGTCCACTTGAAGTGTCTCCCTGTATTACCTATCCCTGGTTTCCTGAGACTGGGCTTCTGTACGTTAACCTGTTCCTCAAGCAACCTATATGCTGTAGTTTGTACATACCAAAAATATACATAATAGAAAATTCTTTATATAATACATAAGAAATTTTGGTTGACAATAAATTACATTACAAAAATCTCAGGGCTAGATGAATTCTTAAGGATCCAAATGCAGAATCTTTTTACAGATGGGGAAAACAAGGCCAACAAAGTTGCATACTTGTCTAATATGCAACCAGCTCATCAAAGCAGAATTTCACTGCAATGTAAACCGATTTCTAGTACTTTATAAGTTCTAAGTGGAAAGTAACTCCAAACTTACTTGATCAAACATTGTAAAACTTCCATTACTGTCTCCATTACTTTCCTCTTCTCAAGCATTTATGGAGGGATATATAAAACTGATGCCCTGTAATGGCAAAACCAAACCTTAGTTTTTGAGGAGAGGAAGAGAAATTTTAAATAGCATTTTTCAGTTGGGATTTGGGGAATCCCACGATCAGAGTATTAACTGACTTTTAAGTGATAATTCCGTTCTACAAAACAAAACCCCAAATATTTATACAAGGTCAAATCACAAATTAAAATAAAATTATTTTTGGGTGCCTGGGTGGCTCAGGTCATGATCCCAGGGTCCTGGGATTGAGTCCCACATCGGGCTCCCTGCTCCTTGGGAGCCTGTTTCTCCCTCTGCTTCTCTCTCTCTCTCTCTCTCTCTGTCTCTCATGAATAAATAAATAAAATCTTTTAAAAAAAATAAAATAAAATAAAATTATTTTAAATAAGAAAATGCTACCGAGCACCCCTGAAACACAATTTGGTTTGTTGTTTTGGTTTTCTGGGACATATTCTCATTTGCTATACTGGCTTGCGTATTTATTTGGCTTCAAGGTGGAACTGTTACGGCATTTTTAAGGATATTCATTACCCTTGACAGTTATAAACAAAATGAAAGGCGAATGGACTTGCTGAAAAATGGGGTGGGGCGGGTGTTCTGAGTAAGGCTACACAGTATTTGTTCTCGCCCTTCTGCACCAATACCTTTCCCCACAGGAATTTCCAAGCACCTTCGGGCCGGTAGCAAAGGGCAAAACACAGAGAAGCCCCAGCTCTGAGCCCAAGCAAGGAGGCAATCCGCCCACCCATCAACCAATCTAAAGTCGTGTTCTGCACCTGCCCACTGCTTGAGCGACCTTTTCCCTCTGGCCCACTGCGTCCCCTTTTACGACAGTTTTCCGACCTATTTGCGGCGGCTACTGCCGTATTTCCTGGGGCGTCCGTATCTGGGCGGTTTGTGTCCCCTGGTGGTGGCCGCATCGGTGTCTGGTAGAGGAGTGGGAGTTGGTGGCTGCGGCTTTTGGGCTGGGATGAACCGCGCTCTCGGTGGAGGCCGGGGAGCCGAGCCAGAGCCATGGTGAGTGCGGCCTTCTGGTCTCCCTAGCGATCTCGGGTCCAGGCCTCAATCTCAAGTTGCGACCTCAGAGGAGGGGAGCCGAGGTTGTCTCCCCATTGCGACTCTGGGCTGGAGATACAGGGCCGCAGAGAGCCACGCTCTTCAGGACACAAAAGCTGTTGGCTCAACTCTCGAGGGCCTTTATGTTCTCATATGGCCCTTCTACAGGGGGTTCCAGTCCCTGGTTCGTCGTCCCCGAGGCTCAGTGATTAGTGGAAACGCATTTGATTATACCTGCCCTTCCTCTGATACAGCCTCACAGTACCTTCTCTACTTTGCTGTATCCTTCCCCTTGGCTTTTGCCGACACATCTTTTCCTGAATACATTTGGAGCCTCTGTACAGTGACCGTGAGACGCCACAGTGCCGAAGGCGCTGTGAAAAGCTATTCTTCTCGTTAAGCCCACGTTTAACGTTGAAACGTGTTGTCAAAATTCTGCAGTGACTTTAAATAGTTCTTTCTCTAGCAGAAACTTTATTTCCATTGTTCTTGATTGAACATTAATGTGGTTTCATTTGCCCGGAGGTGAGAGGTTTTCAAAGGGAGGGTAATCTTTTTCACTGTTGTAAAAGTAAATTAAGCAAATCCACTCGCTCTTGTCTTTCACAGTGAAAATCCCATACCTTTACGACGAATTGGAGATAAGAGTTGCAGTTAAAGGATCATGGGCAGACTATTTACTTCCTAAAAGTTGTTTCTCCTTTTGAAATAAAATTTGTAATGAGTTTGGGATGGGACAATAGGTACCATAGGGAAGGGTGAGAATTCGAGAAGTAAACTATTTACTCTGCTTCCCCTTACCAGGCCAGTACAGTGGTAGCAGTTGGACTGACCATTGCTGCTGCAGGATTTGCAGGTTTGTTTATGGTTTGGGAGTGGAAGTGAAGTAGGGGAGGTTGGAGATTGCTTAATTAATTTATTGCTTTTGTTTTTAGGCCGTTATGTTTTGCAAGCCATGAAACATATGGAGCCACAAGTAAAACAAGTTTTTCAGAGTCTACCAAAATCTGTAAGACTTACTAAACATTTTTGCTAATTCTCATTCCTGTATATGAAGCCGAGAGTCACACTTGAAGAGGGTAAATTTCCAAACATCCGTGGAGGTCTGAGAGATTGCTTTGGGCCCCTTCTCTTCCTTCCCACAAAGAGGGTTTTCTTAGAAGTTCTGAGCTTTGTAATATTGTTAACCCTAAAAAAATGTTTTGTATGACAGAATTGGGGTATTAACACAATTCTAGTATCATGAAAATTATATCACTTTATTGTTTAGATACTGTTAACTTCAGCAGCATTTGTCCAAATTCTTGCCTTCCCTTATCTGCTCTGCATGACAAACACGGAGAGATCTAGGGGTCTGAAGTGATCCATTCTTAACTCTGTGTCCCTGGAACTCCCTAATAAGATTCTTGGGTAGCACTGAAGTAGGCTATAGAGTATGAGTGGATGTGATGTTTGGCTGTAACAGCTTGTTCAGTATTTATTTTTATTGTTGTGATTGAATGTGACAGAATAGGGTGACGGTAGATTTTACTAATATCATCTCTGACATAACAAGGTCAGAGGACCTGGTAGCCTGATTTTCTCAATACATATCTTAAAGTCTTGTTTTAGTAGTTACCTTTACCCTCAAAATACCCTTGAACCACTCATCTGAAAGGATCTCCAAATCCTTTTCTTAAAGCACTTGTTTTTCTAACATATATTCTTAGATCAAATTTTTTAAATTATATTTTAAAGACTTAGAGAGAGCATGAGACGGGGGGAGGGACAGAGGGAGCAGCAGACTCCCCAGTGAGCAGGGAGCCTGATGTGGGGCTCCATCCCGGGACTCTGGGATCATGACCTGAGCCAAAGGCAGATGCTTAACCGACTGAGCCCCCAGGCGCCCCTCTTAGATCAAATTTTATCTATAACATAGCTAACATGGAATAATCTTCCCTTTATTCCAAGAACTGGCTTTGAGGCACTGTTCTTTTGTCTTATATTTTTAAGATAGTTTTTCTGAGGGAAAAAAATGGATGTTTAGTGATCATTAAAATATTCGTTGCTACTTATAAAGCTAAAATGCGGTAAGAGTTGCAGTTAAGGTTCTCTGAAATGTCTTAATTTTTCTATGAACATTTTCAACACTTTTTTAGCAATTTTCAGTTTATTCTAATAATCTATTTTTACGGATGCATTTCCTCTTTCAGGCCTTCAGTGGTGGCTATTATAGAGGTGGGTTTGAACCCAAAATGACAAAACGAGAAGCAGCATTAATACTAGGCGTAAGGTAAATAATTTCTAATATTTGTAACATTTTTGTACAACTCTTAGAGCTATGAGCAAATGTAGAAAGACCTTTTATTAAAACTTATAATAGTGTTACATACATTGTAAGATCTAAACACTCCCTACAAAAGTACATTGAGAAGGCACACTGGCACATAAGCACTTTTTAATTCACTGAAAGATAGGCTTTTAAACCGACAGTTGCAGCGCTCAATGTTGTTCTCTGTAGCATTTTTTAGTGAAATTCTCCATTTCCAGGTAGTTAAACATGCTTTCCCTTTCAGTAAAAGGACTTTTATGAAGTTCAAATAATTTTAATATTTGAGAGCGCGCAAGCGAGCATGAGTGGTGGGAGGAGCAGAGGGAGAGGGAGCAGCAGACTCCGTGCTGAGCTCAGAGCCCAAAGCGGCTCTATCCCAGGACCCCAAGATCATGACCTGAACCAAAATCGAGTCAGACGCTTAACCAACTGAGCCACCCAGGTGCCCCTCAACTAATTTTTTATCAATGCCTTTATGGGGTGCCTGGGTGGCTCAGTCAATCAAGTGTCTGCCTTCGGCTCAGGTCATGATCGAGCCCCATGTCAGGCTCCCTGCTCGGCGGGGAGTCTGCTTCTTCCTCTTCCTTTCCTCCTCCCCCTTACCCCCAATTGTGCTCTCTCATGCTCTCAAATAAAATCTTAAAAAAAAAAGGGGGGGGCGCCTGGGTGGCTCAGTCGTTAAGCGTCTGCCTTCGGCTCGGGTCATGGTCCCAGGGTCCTGGGATCGAGCCCCGCATCGGGCTCCCTGCTTGGCAGGAAGCCTGCTTCTCCCTCTCTCACTCCCCCTGCTTGTGTTCCTGCTGTTGCTATCTCTCTCTGTCAAATAAATAAATAAAATCTTTAAAAAAAAAAAAAAGGGAAGGGGCACCTGCGTGGCTCAGTCGGTTAAGCGGCTGCCTTCGGCTCAGGTCATGATCCCAGGGTCCTGGGATCGAGTCCCGCATCGGGCTCCTTGCTCAGCAGAGAGCCTGCTTCTCCCTCTGCCTGCCTGCCACTCCCCCTGCTTATGCTCGCTCACTCTGTGTCAAATAAATAAATAAGGAGCTATTTAGTTCCCTGATTCAGAAGATTCATCATCCTTGTATGTTAGGGAAGAGGTTCCTAAACCACTTTCCATATTGTGTTGACTTGACTCCAGTTTCACAATATCTTTAATTGGCCTTTATGTACAATTTTTTGATATGATCCAGAAGTAAACTCCACCTTTTTCTTTTTAAACTAGCCCTACTGCCAATAAAGGAAAAATAAGAGATGCTCATCGACGAATTATGCTTTTAAACCACCCAGACAAGGGTAAGTAGCCATTAAATTCTTCTTGTACATGTTTTTAAATCACTAATTGTTACTAGTGGAATAATTTCATACTTAATTCTTCACTATTTCAAGGGAAATGCCTAAATCTGTGTGTGAGCACTGTTTCCCAGGCTGGATCCATCCATTTTCCAATGTCTTAAAAGAATAAATCCTGAATGAAAAATTTATAGAATAAGCTTATGTAGTAACTACTGTAATTTGAAAGTGGTGATAACATTACCATTTTCAGATCTGCAGTAGTGATAAATGTGACTTCTCCTAGTCTAAATACTATCAATACTGTTTTGGTGGTGGGGGGGGGTCTATATTATTAAAGGAAATGTTAAGTTTCAGTTAAGGAAACTAAAAATTTAATTTTTTCTATCCATTATCCATTTCTATCTGTATCTAGGAACCTGTAAGATTTGTTTCTATTTCTAAGCAGACTTGACTGTGTTGAAAGCAAATAATTACTAGGAATACCAAAATATAGATCCCAAAATCCTTGTTCCACTGCTCAAAAACGAATAGGCCCTTTTAAGAATGTTTTGATTTTAAACAGGGCTGTGATTGTTTGGTATTGGACTGTAGTAGCCTCCTTTACAAAATTTAGCTTCTATTTTTGAAGGGCTTCTGATTCATTAAGTGTAGTATGGAGCCTATAAAGGTGTATTTTCTTATTGGGATGTTGATGCTTGCTGCTCTGAGAACTACATTTTGAGAATCAGTGCTCCAGCAGAGTAACAGGAAAGCACCCAACATTATGAAGGCACAATTAGTAACAGGAAAAGAGAAAAACTGTGGAGGACAGAAAGAGTACAAATCATAGTGGGTGGTCTTTCCAACAAAGCTCAGAAACCTCTGAGAACATATTTTCAAAGTAACATAGTACAATAAATTCATGTTCATGTATGACATAATCATCGTAAATAGTAACACTATTTCAAGGTCACATATGTAGGGGTTTTTTAATCCTATTTCTATCAGTTTAAGTCTTTAAAGGTGCCATTTTTGTGGAAATCTTCATGTGAATTACTTCATTTCCCATTGGTGAAAGATACTACCATACATTTGGTCATCTGTTTGCTGTGTCATAGTTATTTTACAAAGTCAAAATGCCGTTTCTGCTAATTCCACCTCTCAGATAAGCAATAGGAATCCTTTAAACGAGAATGTTCACCAAGCAGAAATTGAGAAGCCGTATTATAACTATTCCTTTTTTCTTTCTTCCTATAGGAGGATCTCCTTATATAGCAGCCAAAATCAATGAAGCTAAAGATTTACTAGAAGGTCAAGCTAAAAAATGAAGTAAATGTGTGATGAATTTTAAGTTCTTGTTAGTTTATGTATACAAGTGCTAGCTTTTTATAATAAAATGCCTCAAAGCTACAAATTTTAAGAATGATTTGGCACAAACTAAACCAAAGCTTTGGTAGAAGTTTCTTTGAATGTGAGGATTTTAAATGAGATTATAGAATATTTGGAGATTTAACATTCAGTAATTATAGATACCACTTGAATAGAAATTAGACCATCTCTGGCTTTGAAGGAGCCCCCAATCTAATGAGATAGTGAAAAATTGGTAATTAAAATACAATGTGATATTAGGATGAATGAAATTTGCATAGGTTGTTATAGGAGGGATTCATCCTATTGGGAGAAAAGGCCGCTCAAAGTTGAGAAAACCAACCCCACTGCTTGGAACCTTAAATTTTAAAAGTGAGTTTAGCCACAACTTTGATCTAAGAAATATATCTAATTATATGTATATAATTGGCAGAATTTAGATTTCATACGTTAAAAATTGTTAACAGCATAAGGTTTGACAGTAGAGGTCTTGTTTTTAATCAAGAAATATTTACAATGTATTGAACTACCACTTAAAGAAACAAAGTTTATAAATTATTGGGGTTTTTTTATGTAGTAAGTTTTTGCATTTGTTATGACCAAGCTTAAACACAATTAGCAAAACTAAAAACTGAAATGCTCTCATTTATGGAAAATACCCAGCGTGGACTATTGGAGAATTTATAAACTCATATATTTAAATAACGTTTATGGGTAAATTGGATTATAATTGGTCTAACATAAAATATAAAAGGATCTTAACTAGAGGACCTGTAAAAACATCTGAAGTAAAAGTCTGCGGCCACCAGCAGGAATGTTCTTTAGCTGTAAGATGATAAAGTATACTACCTACTTTACGTCATCTTAAAAGTTCTAATTAATGGAGAACACAAGACTTTCAAGGTCCGTTAAGATCAAAATAGTGGCGGCAATCCTGTTTGGTGTCGGAATGTGTTTACCAGCACTTCAGATTTGGGTTGTATCTGCTCTTTATTTTCCTGTTTCCTTAAAATCTGATCAAGTCTACTTGTTATGATTTAGAGTAGGAGAAAGCACCAGCTTAAGGCAGCCATGGCTTTTATGTAAGATAAGTCTTTTTAGTTATTTCTAGGGAGAAGGGATATGAAGGTACACTTTTGTTATTCAAAGTAGTAATGTTCTATGAAGTTACTGAAAACACTGAAATCAGAAAATACTGAACCATGTGTTCATAGGGGAAATAAAGGTTCCTCTGACCCTCTGGGTCATGTTTTTATCAACCAGTCAATATATAACCTTGTTTTATATGTGTTTCTATTTAAAGACCTTAATGTTGTTGATTCACTAACGTTAAACTTGCAACCAACACTAACTCCTGTCGTTACATTACAGCCTTCTTGTGTTTAGGAACATTAGGCGGCACTTCACTAGGCTTGAGGGCCCTCTTAAACAGGAAAATCACCAATAAGCACAAAAATATGAAAAACTCAGCATTACCTGGACCACAGAAGAAATGCTTATTTACAGTATGGTAACTGAAACAAGGCAAGCATCACTTTGGGTGTTGGGTGATTGTCAATTTGCTAACAAGGAATCTGCTAATAATGATCAACTATTTTGGCTTACTAATGTTTTGTTTCAGTCTTTTGGACTAATCAAAAGTTTCCTTAAGAGATTATCAATTATAAGTTAAAAGCAAATTTTTGAAAGACAAATAGGAAATATGAGCTAATATGCCCAGAGACCATCAAGCATTGGCCCTAGAAGGGAAAACTTCGTGTAGTGGGTAGATTTTCAGGTGTTTAATGCAAATAGCACACCTGTTTTAAGACAACTATTAAGATAATGAAAAATGCTTTCAAATAACACTAAGGAGAACAGAGCACATTTTTCAGTAATCAGTTTTATTTCCTCTAGGCTTACCTTTAAGTAGAAGAATCCACATTTCATTGTAGATTATGAACCAAACCTACCATTTTTCTTGGGAAAAAGTCACCTGTGTGAGGGCTCCAGATCACAGTTGGTAACTGGTGCAAGTATGATCTGTGTAAGAGAGCCGTCATCTTTACATGTTTTTTAACAAAATAGTTGATGTGTAATGTTAACATTTATTGGCTACTTACAGTACACTAGCATTGTGCTTAAGTAAGCATTTAAGTATGTTTTACAAGTAAGGAAACAATAGTGAAGTAACGCCCAAAACAATATTCTGGGTGAGAAGGCTGATCTTTCTTAAACCTAAAGTCCATGCTGTTAACCTGTGATAACCTATCACAAATCTGATAACCAGGCATGTTTTCCTTGGTGGTAATGAATGCTCAAGTCTGAGAGCTGTCATTACACCTTTAGCTTGGGGCCTTTTTATCAGTAGGTACTCAGACTTTTTTTTTCTTCAAGGGGGAGGAAGGTATGCACACAACACTGAGAGATAGGAGATGCAGGTTTCAAGTCAAACTTGGGCAGTAATAGCCAGGCAACTTTGAGTACACTACATGGTTAGGCCTCTGCCTCCCCATCTGTTAATGGCCAACTTAAAAAAGAAAAAAAAAAGTTGATGGTTCCTCCATATTTTATGGGTAGGGAAACAAAAAGAGCAAATTATTTCAGAGGTTACACAGCTAATGAAACTGTAAGCAAGCCCTGGGGGGTCTTCTCCAATTTATTCTGTTCATTTGTAACATGGTTCTCTCTATATTAGTCCTGAATTATTTAGGTAGGTTATGGGGAATTCCTATCCACAGCCTTAATGTTAGATCTGGCATACCAGAGATTTAGTTCCCCTACTTTGTCCCTTCCATTTTGCCTTCACTGCCTCTGGGTTGACATTACTGAGTCCTGTGCTGCTTTGTAAAAACTGCTTTGCTGGTGATAAAAGTGGGCTATAATGAATGGTCCCGGAAGTTAAATCTTTTCCCACTCTTAGAATTTTAGGAAAATTCTCTTGCCTTCAACTGTTTTCCAAATGATGGGAATACCTATGGAAGCATTTAAAAAAAAAAAAAAAAAAAAGTCTAGTTATACAAATCAGTATCCCAGAACACCCAAACCATTCAAGAAATGATTAAAAACTTGTATGAAAACAGGTGGAATACGCATATATTCTAATTACAAAGCCTGATTATAAGGTTTTCTCTGCTAACCTTAGTTTATAACAAAAACAAAAAGGGTAAAAGGCAGCTAGAAAACCACTAATTGGAAAATATTAGGTTAACTAACTTTTTTTTTTTAAGATTTTATTTATTTATTTGACAGAGACACAGCGAGAGAGGGAACACAAGCTGGGGTAGGGGGGTGGGAGAGGGAGAAGCAGGCTTCCCGCGGAGCAGAGAGCCCGATGCGGGGCTCGATCTCAGGACCCCAGGATCATGACCTGAGCCGAAGGCAGACGCTTAACGACTGAGCCACCCAGGCGCCCCGGTTAACTAACATCTTAACACAAGAGTAAAACCCTAAGCATTTTGAACTGTGCCACACTAAAAAGCTGTATTCAGCCTATTGAAAAATGTATGCCCTACCTCAAAATCAGAATTCTTTAAAAAATTCACTCAGGCAGAATGCTTCATTTAGAGTTGACAAGTCAAGTTTTAAGTTTCCACATTTCTGGCTAGAATACAGAACTGTTTCAATCGGAGAAAAGTAGGATAGAAAAAAATTTAAATTTGAGGTAAAGTACAAAAACACTACTTAAAATGCTAGAGTGGGTTTTGGTTCTAAAAAGAATCCTGAACTTAGAGTAACCTTGATACCAGGAAACTTAAATGACCTAAGCTCTGCTTTTTTATTTTGGCACTGTTGTTTAGGGTACAGTGTCTGTTTATAGCTGTTACCTTAGCAACAGGCTATAGGAAGAGCTTCTATCCAGGGGCGTCTGGGTGGCTCAGTTAGGCATCCAACTCTTGGTTTCAGCTCAGGTCATGATCTCATGGGTTTGTGGGATCAAGTCCCATGCTCAGCAGGGAGTCTGCTTGAAGATTCTCTCCCACTCTTTCTGATAAATAAATCTTTAAGAAAGAAAAAAAAAAAAAAGGAAGAGCTTCTACCCAGTGTTACAATTATTCCTGACCCAATGACAAGGTCCATAGTCCAGTGTTAAGGTATAATCTGGAATGTTAGCACTTGCTGTTACTTTAGTACAGTTACAATTAATGGAATTTCAAACATAATGTTTACATTCTTCTTTACAACCAAGTAAACAGCAGGTTGAAAAATGAAACTCAGCCAGGTTGAGGCGTAAGCTCCAGGCAACAAGACAAATTAAATTGGTCTATCTACAAAAACTGTGGGAAATTTTTTTAATACTCAAAAAAAAAAAAAAAGAGTAGCTTCTTTTGACAGTCCAAGAGGTACAAAGTATTTGGAAAATATCCCTATAATTTCACCCCCAAGAAAAACATACCAATCACTGGAACACAAATTTAAGAAGCTATTCACTAGTATACTTAATAGTGGGGCTTTAAGACTGAGAATGTCAGTGAAAAATAATCTTGCCCTTGCTTTTTTTGTCTTTAGATTGCATACAACATAGTTGGAAAACGTCTGGGTTAGGTATATAGAAACTCCCAATTCTGTACACCTATACCTACAATTTTCAAATTATCAAAGGAAGAAAGAGGCAAGCCAAATGGACTGGTAGAAATCCTCTTACAAAGATTATAGCCTGCATTATAGCCTATACCTTGAGTACTTGAAGTAGTAATACAGAAAGTACAGATGATTCTGAATCTAAAGCAATCCACTGATGAACCCTTCTTACAAAATTAATGTATTTCCTTATAGAATGTACATGCCTCATCGAGAAATAAAGGACTTTCTGGATGATTAGGCTCTTGCTTGGATTTCTAAAGTAAATGATCATACTTAAAAATGTATTTAGGTTGAGCCATAGGAAACTAACTGCCACTTTCCTGGGTCAAAAATGGTGAACTACTGGCAATTTCGTATGGCTCAACAAAATTGACCTATTTTCAACCAACAGTTGAGTGCAACTTCAAATTACTACTCACTTGCCAAAGTTTAACTATTACAGACTGATTGTTGCTTTATTGCAGATCCTGAAATAAAACCCAAAGGTCATCAAAGGTTTTAACTACTATCCATTCAAGAACACTTCCTAATAACTAAAAGTTTTAAAAAGGAGTCACCAAATTCACTATACCAGATATCCTTATACAAGGTATCGGGGATCCAAACCATAACAGCAAAGATAGGAAACAGTGAGGCTTCTCATCAAACATCCTTTTGCCTTTTGGAATTTTGTCAAACACACAGATCCAGTTCAAATTCAAGTTCCTTGAGGCCTTCTAGAAAATCCAAATGTAAAGTTTCCTTTACCCTCATTCCAGTAACCACCATCCAATGTAGGACTTACTGCATTATAGCTAGTTTTCCATTCATCTGTTCTTATATTGTAGACATTGCGTATGAGAAAACTAACTAGGTTGGTTTCAACCTCAAAGTGCAAATCTGTGTGAAGACAAACGGTACAATTTCCCAAGCTAACTGCAACAGTTTATATGCCAACTCTGCAGAGACCTTTCTCAAGTTACACGCTGGACTCATAGAAAACAACAGCTACAAAAACACCTGTGACTCAGCATAAGGTGATGGATCCCAGTTACAAAAGAATGGCTGACAGAGAGACCTGGAATACAATAAAACACTAGCTACTTTGCCTCTTCCTCCCTAGCTTAGTGTTATCTATTCTCAGGTTACTTTACTTGCCTATATATACCTATACTTTTGCAAAATCATTTAAATGATCTCCCTCAGCCTGGTTCTAAGGAATGCCTGTTAGGTTTTCATGAACTCACCAGTTTGATGTGCTGCTTCTCAACTCCACATTAAAATACACAATTTATAATTTTACCAACAGTAACGGAGCTATCAACAAAGACTCATTTACACCATTTTGCAAGTTTTAGACCTACTGAAGGCTTTAAAAAGGTGATGCCAGGGGTACCTGGCTAGCTCAGTCGGTAGAGCATGTGACTCACTCAGGATTGAGAGTCACACACTGGGTATAGACAGGACTTAAAAATAAAACCTATGAAAAATAAATTGATGCCAAACAAGAATATTAGGCTTCCCGAAGTTTCAGGAAAAGGTTTTTGCCCTCATGTAATCTTAGTAAGTTTCCGTGATTTCACCTAAGTATACTGAAACAATTGAGGGCTGCACAAGACCTTTGTTTTTTATTTTTGCTTAAGCATGTCCTAACTTACCAGTAAGTTTTCCCATAGCAACACCTTATCTAACTGGTGTAGAAGTAGCCAAAAAAGATGCACCCCTCTCAAGATAATTTGGAAGGCTACCTGAATCAAATGGTTACTACCTTCGGGGAGTGGGCCTTTTCACTTCTAAATCAGAGTATTTACCCCCAAGAAAAGCCTATTATGGGGGTATCTGGGTGCTCAGTTAAGCATCTGACTCAATTTCAGGGCAAGGCATGATCTCAAGGTTATGAGATCAAACCATCAGGCTCTGTGCTGGCCGTGTGAAGCCTGCTTAAAAATTCTCTCTTCCATTCTCTCTGCTCCTCCCTCCCCCCTCTCGCGCTCTCTTAAGAAGGAAAAAAAAAAGCTTATTATGGTCCTACAGTACACAAGGCATTAGGTTTAGTCGTTTGTAAATAATGAAATCTTGATACTTATTTCCTAGAATATGGTTATTCTACTAAAGAACTGCTTGTACTATGCCCATTCTCTAAGATGGTTTTATTTTACTTTCTCAATGAAACAATCTTAATGGAAGAAGGATCTTAGTGAATCTATTCTATATGAAAGAAAATGAAAAATCACTTTTTATTTATACCATATTTACCAATTTGGGAATTAATGAAAATTCTCATACCTTGTAATTAATCTGTAACCCTGTTACTGAAGAAAACAAAGAAAAAAAGCCAACAATTTTACTTCTAACCTTTCATGGTTAAAAAAGATGTCTGTGGGTTAAGTTTTTAAAAATCAGGATATGAAATTATTGATACTGTTACTCAAAATGCAAGGATTGCCCTATTTTTTTCATACCACATCTTATAAATTCTGTTACTAGGGTTTTAGGAAAAAGCATTTAATACCATCACATCTTAACTGCAATGATAATAAATTTGAGGTCTGGGGCTATATGGACACTGACCTGGCAAATATTACATTTTAGCAGTACCTTCAACTGTCTTTCAGTCATCATAAATTAACTAAAATCACTTAATAGTTTTATGCACATAACAAATTAAGACCATTTATGCACATAAAAAACACTTCAAACACCAAATGACAGAAATGCCTCTTTCTTGCTCAGTGGTCTATGTGTTTCTATGGGGGGGGGGGAACCCTCCAGTAAATCCACATTTGATATGACCTCACATATATCTGCATAATTACTTTATCATTGTCACTCTGAACACACTTTATGCAAAGTCTTTATCTTCCTAAAGTTAAGCCATGTGGCTAAAATACATACAAAAAATACAATCATTAATATGACAACCTTCAAAATTATTTCCTTGAGAATCAAAAACTAAGTTAATGGTCTGTTTCTTATTTAAAAATTGTTCACCATGCTTCTTTATAAAAATAATTTTTAATTATCAAAGGCCAAAGCAAAATTCTGGATTTTACCCCAATGCCTTCCAAAAGTTGCCTTTGATAAGATTATAAAGATTTTACTAGTATCAAATGTATGATCAATTCCCTAAGCCAATCTATTCTAACAGACTAAATTTTAAGTGCTAAGATTTCAGAGGATATATTACAAAATGATTAAACAATATTTTAATACTATTTATAAGTATAAATGCTTTTTAAAAAGCAATCACATTAACTATTCTAGGCCTATTACTAGCTCCAACTACTTTGCTACAATTGGTATAAAAAGTAGAAAGTTAATCAGTAAATGGAAGATCAAAGTTTATTTACTACCTGCATACAAAAACATATTGCACATCAAACAACCAAAATCAAAAAAAAAAAAAAAAGGAAAAGAAAAAAGGAAAGATACTCTACTGAAGACTA